AAACCTCACTCTAAGTTAGATTCAGTTCAATTCAGATTAAATTTGGTTTCATTTGTCATGCAGGAAAAATAAAGAAATGTTGCTAGTGCTGTTAATTATATTGTTGATGTGTGCATTTTAAATTTCTTTCTGTTTGAGATTTTAAAGGTCTAGAACAGGTATATAACCACAAAAACACTTTGATAGCAGTCAACTGAAAGCAGTGTCACCCACATTTGAAGCAAAGCATCAGGTAGCCTGCGTGAGAAATTTGATCAAACTAAAGAATAAAACTAAGTTCAGTTTTCATTACAAAGATCCAAATCACAAAGGCAGTCACCTCAAGGTGCTTTATTTCTGTGGCTGGTTGTGGGTGATGAGGTGGAGGACAATTACACACACACCCTCCTCTCTCCCCCTTTTTTAATGTAATTGCTTTTGTAAGTTTACAAAAAAACTTCTTTTTTTTTTTTAAGTTTTAGTAAAAGGATGCAGAGGCTTCAATTAAGATGCCAAAACAGTTCGTATTTGGTTAGGTGCCACATCTGGCTAATTATTAAGAATTTTAATGAAATGATATAAGAACGAAGAAGGATAAGAAGACAGCGATACATCAGCTACTGGGAGACAGCCAACCACCACTAGACATACACTAAATATACATACAAGCAGATTTTACCGTAAACAACGAGTGAACTCCCAGCATGCTGACCGGAGGCAGCCATTCACAGGAACTGTAGAAACAAAGAGAACAGAACAACCGTGTGAAATACTATTAAATAGATAGAGACAAACAATACTTTAAAAGAAAGCTACAATAATCCCAGAATAAGCAGTGGTGAGTACTCCGCCTACACACAAACAGAACAATGTTACACATATGTACTCATTTTCTGTCCACAATAACAGTTATGGCAATTATGGCTGTTTAATCCTTTGTATCTGCCATGTGATTGGCTCTCCCCTGCTACGTTTGTTTTTCTGTAATTTAATATAAGTATGACAACCTTAGCGTGTATTACATTTTGTGAATAATAAATGGTCATTAGTTTGTGCACTGTTTTTATTCACCTTCTGATCACATGAGTCATGCGCATACAGGTGGTTTGGCACAAGATAAAACCAAGAGCTTTCACCCTGAAAATGTACGCACGCACACACTCTCTCTCTCTCTCTCTCTCTCTCTCTCACACACACACACACACACACACGCACACACACACACACACACACACACACACAGCGAGTGAGAGAGAGAGGGAGAGAGAGAGGTACTCTATCGTTCTCTCTGCAGAGCAACGAGTCCATCGCTGAAGTCTGTTAAAAGCCCAGACACAGTGGCAGAGAGTTTATGTTTAGTCTGACATCTTGTGGTGGAATTAAACACTTCACCTACAAAAACGACCAATCATGCCTTTCGTGTAGCACTTACTACATTCACAAATAAAAACTGCAGCTCTTTTGGTTAAACGTTAACGTGTTTTAGATTGTTTCAAATTCTTGGACATGGCTTGAAATGTCTCTCAAATGTTACAAATATCTTTTGATCAATTACCAAACCATTAGTTGCAACAGTTGAATTATTAAAGCAATAAATATCAAATAAATACTGTTATGGTAAAATATAAACTAAAAATGAAAAAATTACATCTATTATACATAATAATTTATTTTATCCACTAAAATACCCGATATACTCAGACGTGTGTCTCAAAACAGGAATGTAAAACTATGCCTTTGTGCCATCAGAAACTGAATTTGAATAAGTTAAATTCAAATCTGAATTGCTCAACTTAAATAAAAGCTTCTAAAACTGAATTTGAATTAGCCTAATTTAAAATCCAATGTATTGGTTTGAAAATGATTGTCACTAAATTGAAACTGAATTTTTTATTTTGAAAATGAATTAATTGAATTTGAAATTGTATTCCATCCTTCTTTAAATGTAGCTCTTGAATGCTTTCAGTTTCACTTTGCACCATTCAATTTCAGTTCTTAAATTCAGTTTTTTGGGTCATACATCCTGGAAGCCGTGTGGAAAAGAGTACCAGATTCAGTAAAAAAAAAAAAAAAGTATCCATAACTCCAGATTTCGACTTATTTTCTCGACATTTCGACCTATTAACTCGAACAGTAATTCAAAATTTCGAGTTATCTCTGTCAATCAGTAATCTACGTGAATGACGTAATTTTCCTGTTACCCGGAAGGATATGACTCAGAGGAACGCGCACGCAAAACCGGATGGCGAGCTACCAATGTATAGCAACAAATTGGCGCTTTCGAGAGTACCTTTGCTGGTGGTAACACCACGTGATTCAGCTAATAACACAAGGATTTCATTATTTGTGAAACCAAGCTGAAAATACTCAGCAATTTGTGCATTCATGACTGGCTGTAATACTGGTAGCTTAGCGCTTGTAGCTCAGGACTTCAGCTTCCGGGTAACAAGGAAATGACGCAATTCACGTAGATTACTGATTGTCAGTGCTAACTCGAAATTAAAGCTTTAAAATAAAGCTTTCGATACGGTAGAACATTATTTCTTATTTAAAGCACTCAAAACCTTTGGTTTTGGTCCAAACTTTGTGTCAACTATCGAAATGTTTTATAAAAATATTGACAGTTGTGTTATACTATATCCAAATACTACTAAAAGATTGCCAGTCATGAGATCTGTTTGCCAGGGTTGCCCAATTTCACCCTTTTTATTTTTGATTGTGGCTGAACTACTTTCATTACACATTTTAAATAGCCCAGTCATTAAAGGTTTATCTATTTTTGGTAAAGAAATCAGAGTGACTCAACTAGCAGATGACACCGTTTTATTCTTAAAAAACAAAGATCAGATTGAAAATGCTATTTCATTAATAAATGATTTCTCAATTGCCTCTGGATTAAAACTAAATAAATCTAAATGTGAAATTTTATGTTTGTACCAATCAAATGTCAAATCCTTACACAATATTCCTGTCAAAAACTGTGTTAGATACCTTGGTATTCATGTCTGTAAGAATGACACAGAGCGTCAACAACTCAACTTTTCTCCCAGGATGGAAAAAACTAAAACTATACTGAACTTATGGCTCCAAAGAGACCTATCAATTTTTGGTAGAATCCTTTTGACTAAAGCTGAAGGTGTTTCCAGATTTGTGTATCCAGCCCTTTCCCTTAATGTGTATGATTCCACATGTAAAAATGTTAATAACTTATTTGTTAACTTTGTATGGAAGAATAAGCACCATCATCTAAAAAAATCATTGCTTTGTGGACCTAAAGATAAAGGTGGTTTTGACCTTCTGGACTTCATGGACCTGAACTATACATTTAAGGTGAAATGGCTAAAAGAATGCTTAAAATCTCCTGGATCATTATGGCATTTCATTCCACATAACATTTTTAGAAATGTTGGAGGTTTACAGTTCCTATTGTCTTGTAGTTACAGTATATAAAAGTTACCAGTTAAAATGTCTGCATTTTATCAACAGGCATTGTTGGCTTGGAAATTATGTTATTCACATAACTTTTCTCCACATAGATCTATTATCTGGAATAACGAATGTATTACTAAGAGGAACAAATCACTATATTAGCAGAATTGGATTGATAAAAATATAATCTATTTAAAAGACTTATTTGACTCTGAAGGCCAGCTACTTAGTTACAATGACTTTATTACAGAAAAAACATTCCCTATCAAATTTAAAGATTTTAGCTCTGTAATAAAGTCCGTTCCCAGCGGACTGACTGAGTTGATGAAAAGTTACAAAAAACAGAACACACCACATGCATCCGTTAACACTCTTTATATAAATGGTATTGATTTCTTAAGCAAGAAATGCACCAATAAACATATTAGAGAATGTTTGTATAATGCGAAGAAAATAACTCCAAGAGGGAAGTTTTTTTGGAATGCTAGTTTTGATAATATCAACTGGGATAAAGCGTGGCTTGTTCCTTTTAGATTTTGTATTACAAACAAAGTTAGAGAATTACATTTGAAATTATTACATAACATATATCCATCCAACATGTACATTTCAAGATTCTGTGACATTGATAGAAAATGTACCTTTTGTAAAACTGAACTTGAAAGTGTTACTCATTTCTTTTATGGCTGTTCATATAGTGCTACATTTTGGAGAGAGCTTGAAAATTATATACTGTGCAAGACAACATACGAAATCAAAATTGAAGGGAAGAACATTATCACTTATTTTGAAACTAAAGAAAAAAAAATATGTGCCATTGTCATTCTTTATATCTTATTAGGGAAATTCCATATACATAAATGTAAATTTCAAAACTCAATCCTATCATTTAATTTGTTTTTGATTGAAATTGAATATTATTTAAACTCTCTTAAATTAACTTCCAATAAAAAAGGTTTATCATTGATTGAAATTCATTCTGAAATGTTTAACAAATGAGCTGTCACGACTTTCAAGTACTAAATTATGAAGTCTGTCACATTCCCCCCCTTTATTTATTTGTCCTTATTTCATTGTACTGTATATTGTACTTTTATTTGCCTTGTATGTCTACTGTTCAGGCTGAACTGGAATGACTGGCTGTTCACTTTGTAATTTTAATAAAGTTTGAGAAAAAAAAAGTGCTAACTCGAAATTTCGAGTTTCTTTTCTTTAAAACGTCAAAATTTTGAGCTACTTTAAAAAAAATTCGAGTTAATAAGTTGAAATTTCCACAAATATGACTCGAAATTTCGAGTTATGGATACTTTTTTAGTGGCGGAAAGGGGCTTCCATAAAAAATATGGAAACCTTGCATGTTTGTAAAGTTGGATAAAATCAAAAGGAAAAATTTACAGTTTACTACGAAACCCATAGGCCTTTGCGCGCTATGCGTTCCTCTTGGTAGTTGTAGTCAGCAAATCCGTCTCGTTTCCGTGTGTCTTGCTTTAGGTGGAGGAATCTGCTCTGCAAAGACAAACACGTGAAATTATTGATCAGGTAGGGCAAACAGCTTATTTTGCTGGCTCTCGCCTAGTGAACTAGTCGACCACAGATGTAATATAAGCTATTTTTTCATGTTCAGCCCTTATTTTTTCCGGTAATCCTGAAGCTGCAGACAGGGTGCGAAATCAGCGCTTACATGGCGATGCATTTCCTTTTGTTCAGCTAGCTTACGTGCAGAAATACAGAAGCCAAAATCTTACAAATGTTTCTCGTTTAAAAAAATGAAAGGTGACTGAGGGGATTTCCTGGCGTTAACCACCTACGTGGTCCAATTTTAGACACACTGTTGCTTGGCATTTCCGACGGCACTCCGAACGGCGGCGTTTATTCAGCTAGCCTCGGCGAAGTTACACATTTATTAGCCATAAAAACTTAGCTTTGTAAATATGTAACCCGTAGTCGTGTTAGCATTCTTAGCGTTAGTAGCGGGCTTGTCGCAGTAATGTTGTTTACATCCGGTAATGCTTGTTCGCATGGATGTGGTTGATTGAGGTGAGGGCTGTAAACCTACCGGGGAACTTGAGTTTGCTCCTCTTTGCCAGAAATATTCTGATTATATGATCACATTTCATCAGGTCCTGTTACACTCATCAAATGACTTGTCTTGTTTCTCACAGGGTTGTGTGAATTTATGGAAACATGTCAAAGAAACGGGGCAGGTAGGCTCATTAAGCAAGTCAGATTTAACACCTTTGACCCTGCTGTTACAATGTGACACAGTACACACACACACACACACACACACACACTGTAGTAACATATGGTCAGATCATCAGTCAGCACTTAAATATAAGCTTAAACGTTTACTGACCTGGAAAAGATGGCCAGTGGTGACCAGTTGTCTGTAACCAGTCCATCCAGAGTGCTTAGATGCTAATTATAAATATTGTTATTTGAGCTTGTTTATCAGCATAGCAGGAGCTTTTAATTATTAACCTGGCATATTGTAATCTTGATAAGAAAGCATATGGGCCACTTAATTTTTTTTTAAATGTTTTTGCTGTCTGTTTATGGTATAGATACAACAGCCAACCCTCTACATTATTTTCACACAATATCTGTGAAGTTAAAGGCTTTAAAGATTCAGTAGTGTAAAAGACGACAGCCCATGGCAGATTTTACTTTGAAGCTCGACTTTGAAGTGATGGCTTTGAATATTAAATTTAAAATAGTTTCACACTCATTTGTTTATGTAACATTTTGATAGTTCTCATTGTTTGGGTTGACTGAACTCTCTGTCATTAGAGGTAACGCAAACAATATACTGATGGAACAGCTTAAGTTCATCATACCCGCACTAACGTATGAATGCTAACGTGGCGCTTGCTCCATTCCTGTTTACAGGAAGCGCAGCAGTGGAGAGCTGAGTGAGAGCTCGGCGTCGACCCTGAGTCCGGACCCTGACAACCTACTGGGCCGCAGGATTCAGCACACCTGGAGGGAGAAGGGCAACGTAACCAAATGGAAGGGCACAGTTTTGGAGCGCCTGTCTGTGAACACCTCCCTCTACATGGTCAAATATGACGGCTTTGATTGCGTCTACGGAATCGAGCTCTTCAAAGACAGCCGGGTATCCAACCTGCAGGTCCTGGCAGAGAAAGTTGGTGAGTGTCATGATGAAGCTCTAATCACTGATACTTTGCTTGAATTTAAATGTTTTATAGTCAATTATTGAAATTAAAATGAACTTTGTCATGTCTGCAGTGCATCACGCTGCATGTCACGTTTTTGTATGATTCCCTGTTGAATCTCGTGTTGGTGTTTATCTCATTTAGGTCTGAGGGGATATGCTGTGAAGCAAATTTGCCATAGCTGTGCATTAGCCGCCTCGATTAAACCTAAAATCCCAGTCGAGGATAATGCGCATCACGCTGGTAGACACGAACTTTGTTTCCCCTCTGAGGTTTATTGCACATTCTCACTAAGGGTGTGGATTGACGCATCATTTGACTCCACTTCTGCTTCAGTCAGAGAAATAGGCATCATCGAATGCTTAAAAATAAATAGCAAGAAAGAGTAGAGAGGAATACTGGAAGAAAACCTTTAATGGTTAAAATCCATGTATTTATTTTGCCAGTCGTACACTTACTGAGGCTCTTTGTTTCTGATGTGGCGGATGCACATTTGAGCCATTAAACTTGATTAATTTAAACACGATACATCATTCAGTGCACCTCTAACGTAACAGGTTGCTGAGAACATGTGCTGCTATGACAGGAGAAAGCTACATGATCCACTCCTGCCAAGAGTATGCTTTCAACATTTTATGGTGCCACGTTTTTGTCTGTTTGCACCGATATTTGCCTTGCTAAATGCAGGCTTGTTTGTGTGCAGCCTTCCAAAAAACCAGCAGGGCATAGCTATGAAGCTGTAGAAGGCTTATTGGTTGAAAAAAAAACACTCGGCTGGCTCCGTGTGTGTGTGTTATAATTTAGTGCTTTTCTTTGCTGCCTGAACACGAGCAAGAGTAGCCCACTCGTGGGTTTTAGTGGCACTGCCCTCTGGTGACATTACATAGCCACAGCATGCAGATGACCGTCTGTAAAGCTGTGCATAGGCTCTGCATAGGAGCCGTTATTTACCCTGGTGATCTAGTCAGGTAAAAAAGAAAAAAAAGAGCCACCTTTGTAATGTTGAAAACTCTGGCTTTAGGCTCTACATGACTCGCTAATCTCTATTCATAGCACACCCTCAGGTGTGGTGACGAACTTTGTGTATTTAATAGCAACATAACTACTGCTGGTTACACAAAATACACCTCTCTCTTTTTACTTGAGGACCGTATTAAACAGCATAATAATTTACCAGCATATAAAATGATTTAAATTTCAGTGGCTTATTGGTTTATATCAGGATACCTTATTTTACATGGTGAGATGTTAATATGTTCTAACTGCACATTTAACCCCTGAGATATTTTAACACAAGAAAAAAAACAGTAAAATTTCTGCAGTACATCTCAGTTTTTATACATGAAATAAGAAATGCTGCTGAAAGAAGTCTGCGAGCATGACTCTGGGCTTAAATTGTAAGAAATAATTGTGTAAAAGTTCTGGTTGCTCATTACCCAGACTGTCCTATAAATATAAAACAGAAACTTTCTGTTAATTCACAGAAATCTGACCATAGAGAAAACAGAAATTTCACCAATTGTTAGTGTGAACATTTTTTTCTGTCTTTTCATTGTTTATCCATTAATAAATTACTTTGGTGTATTATGAATGCCCACCGGGGAGTCTTTATCTGCAAGAAAACCTGTAAAACGTATAAAAATACGTCCAGTGAACCAGATTGGCATCTTGGGCACCCGGGGCCTTATTTTTGACACCCCGGCTGAACATGATGACAATCTTTGTCGTCCTTTACTAAGAAATAGTCTTTTATTATCTAATTGAAAATGTAAAGCTGGCAGCATCAGAATAAAGCATTGGGGGAATTATAATGTCATATAAAATAGATTTTAGTGTTTTCATTTATCCTGTCGTCTTGGGTCTGTAAATGTTTTGGATTGATGGACTCATTGAAGTGTCTTCTCATTTCCACAGTGAACAATAAGATCAAGGTGCCTCCTGGGGCGGAGGAGCTGGTGGGTCGAGCAGTGGAGCATCTGTTCGAGAAGGAGGACGGGGAGAAAAATGAGTGGCGAGGCATGGTGTTGTCCCGGGCCCCAATCATGACCCACTGGTATTACATCACCTACGAGAAGGACCCGGTGCTCTACATGTACCAGCTGTGGGACGACTATAAGGACGGGGACCTGCACGTCCTGCCGGAGTCAGGTATGGTAATGTGAGCTTCGCTGTCAGTGTGCATAAAACTGTCAGTGTTTTATATTTCCGATCCTCCTGGAAAAGTGGGAGGAAGAGAACAGGACAAATTTACATAGTCTGCATTGCAAAACACTCCAGCATCTCTGGCTCGTTCTTCTCCTCCTGAACATTTTGTTCAGAATTTCTGCTTAGTTAGGAGAGTATGATCTGCTGCTTTAGAGGAATTTATTCATGAATGAACTGTGGCAAGCACAGGTGGTGGGTTAAAGGTCATGTTCAAACAACAGGTAACAGGCTTGGAAGCCTGTTGCAAATAAACGTATGTGGCTGAGTAAATGCTGTCCAGCACGGCATCATGTGGTTTTTCTGTTTGCCATCCAGAGAACAAACACCTGCTGCCAGCGGACAGGAAGCCAGGTGAGGAGCCAGAGAGCCTCGTCGGGAAGCAGGTAGAGTACGTCACAGATAACGGTCTGAAGAGGACGGGTTTAGTCATCTACCAGGTCCCGGCGAAGCCCACCGTCTACTACATAAAGTATGACGACGATGTTCACATCCACGTCTACGACCTGGTGAAGACCACCTAGTACTGACTGTCTGGTTTCATCTTCAGCTGTTGGCTCAAGTTTTACCCCAACAAGTCGTTACCTGTTAAAGTGTTAAAGGTTTCAGCTTTCCTCCAGTGGGAGGCAACATGCCGAAAAGGCCATTTTTTTTCTCATCTTGTCCCATATGGGCCTGCGTCATTCTATGATAACAACACATCTTTGTTTTGATTCTGAATTTTAAGTTGAACTTAAAATATGGCACTTAAAGTCCTCTTCCGTGTAAATAAAGCAGATCTGAGATCAGCTGTGTAGCCCAGCAGGTGAAATCGTAGGCGTTGCTGTATGGTGCGACTCCCAAACTCAACAAAAGTTCATACAACACATCAAACTAATGTTTTTCTTTTCTCTTTCTGCTTGTGTTATTTATTTGAATCTGGAATATCTGGCTCTGCTGCTGGTAAGGAAACAAAAAACAACAAAGAAAACTGTGTCTGCTGTGTTTCATGTGTGTCACTTGGTAGGCCTCAGTTTGTTGAATATAGAAAACCATGTGTGCTGATTTCCCATCGCAGTGAACTCAGATTTCTGTTGACTTGTATAAGCATTAATGAGACTGGTGTCTCACGTGAATATAAAAACAGAATAAGTGAAAAATCCATGTATGATATTTCTGTTCCGTTTGATCATTCAAACTGTCAGTTTTTCTACATTAAAATATATCAGAAACACTGATGTTGATGTCAAGTTGTTTGAGACGGTGTTTGTGCTACGCACTATTTATGTAGTTCAAATTGGCGATCAACAATGTTTAGTATTTTGGACTGAAAGTCTTCATTAGTTGCCAAAAATGAATGAAATACTGTTCATTGTGACCCTAAATATGTTTTGTTCTGTAAATAAAAAAGACATTTTTATGAACGTACAACAAAGCTGGTTGTATTTTCTTTTCCAGATGTTTCCTATTAACACGTTCATCTTGAGCGCTGTTAATATTTATGTCCAGGGAGCATGATGCATGAGTTTAGCCAAACAGAAAACACTCACTACTCACTCATAAAACAAGTCAGACTTGAGATTTTAGAGATGAAAACTCTGGTTAAATAACCCGAGACACCAGAGCTTATAGATGGAGCAGTTGACTTTGCAGGTAGCCAGATTTTAGCTTTATTCATAAGGAGAAGCCTCTCTTTAACCCACAGTTCACTCTCATCCTGTTTATTGGAAAAACAGACTCAGTAGCTACTACACACTGGTGAATCAGCTGTACTTTATCCATTGAGTCACGTGGCTGAAATAACAAATATCTGTGGATAAAGTTTAGTTCTCCTGAGCCAAATTCCTAATTAGCTTCTATTTAAAGGTCAGGAAATCAGGGAACAGTTATTGACCTACACAGCTGATCATTTAGGATGAATAGAATGTAAATATTCATTTATCTTACAGCTAAATGTTATTATAATCCCTAGTGTTTATCTTAAAAATGTTAGTTTTTTCCCCATAAATTGGACTTTTAAAGCTTCCTCTGATTTTCTGTGAATATACTGGGAATAACTGTCAGCAGACATTCACACACAGTCCCTTCTGCATGTTTTAAATGCAAACATTGTTAAGACTACATGACTAGAAGATTACTTACAACTTATCAGTTAATCATCTTTTGCTGCTTGTGTTTCGTTACTTAAATGTATATCATGCTTGTAAATTTTTCATCACCACCAACAACCACAGCATTAGAGAAGACCCTGCACAAATATTTGCACTTATTTAATTGCCAGACACAATTGTTCTGTGTCTGCTGATCAGTCGTCGGGCCCTGATCTTCTTGACCACACATGTAGCTCACTCTTCCTCCCCCGGAGTCTCTCCGAGGTGCCAGTTCTGTGGTGATGGGTGCCAGCACAGACATCGGGGAACAGTTGGCATACCATCACGCCAGGCTTGGTGCCCAGATAGTAATAACAACGAGGAGGGAGTACATGCATTGCGCAAGGTCTGTGCTCTTGAGAATGTGTCTAATGCAATTTGTCACCTGTTGTGCACTTCCTTTTACACATCCATCACTATTTTTGACCATTTTCTTTCCTCGTGAAACCATCTGCCTTAGTTGTTGGCAACAGTTTTTACTGTTTAGACATAATGATTACTCTCAAGTATCTTAGATCGTGACTCTGACTTTTCTCTGCTACAGTGTGCACTAAGTGCTTTCAGTCTTAACTCAGGAGAATGAGAAAGCATGAAGTGTCGTGGTATCGCTGCTGTGCCAGTTTCTGTCTGTGCTGTAGGTGTGAGATGTTTTTGAGGGGTTCATGGGCTCAATCAACGAGAAAGACCTTTAAATGTTGTTGTTATTTTTTAATCAGTAGGAATCAGACTTTTTTATTTCTCTGTCTCATGTAACCTACAATAGCGATCACACCAGAAATACAGCTAAAAAGCATTTAAAATAGCCACAGTTGCTGCTGAAAGCTGCCTCTTCCATTAGATTAATAAATATTTTTCTTTTTCATCATGGGCCTAAAATTAAGAGGCTGAAATGAGCTACATGAGGTTGCATAGCACTATCCATACACTCAGTGAATTATATGAAAGGCTGTTGTGAGAGAATCCTCCGATCTATTTTTTTCTTCCTTTTATCATTATTGCAGTACCTTCCTCAAAAACCTTGAAACTTTGTCTGCATTCTTATTGGCCAATAAACAAATGCACTTGACTCTTTTGTGTTGCTTAGCAACACAAGCCAGACCCTGATTTTATATATGAAAAAGCAGGATTCAGCCAATCTGGAGACTACAGGGTGCAGAGTGATGGAGACCAGCCATGGTGCATTTTTAATTAAACCATTGCAAGCATTTATGAGTGAAAAGGGTGGAAGGCATTGTCTGTGGTCAAGATTATCAAAGCATGGTGACATGGTGACTAATTTCAGTTTCAGAGACAAAGATGAATGTAATCTGCATGACGGTTACATGTCAGCTTTGGATTTTAAGCAGTCCTTACTTTGTACTGATCTGATTCAAATAAAGTGAGTTTTAATTCATTTTAGGTGGGCTTGACCTTTCTGTCATAAGCACTTTGTTAGCAACGAATGGCAAAGATGGGGATTATTCAGGTCAACCGTGCAGGTAAAGAGAACAACAACAACAAAAAAAGATAAGTCTGTCTCTACGTTTTCATGTCTGTCTTGTCTTAATTGTTTTTACAATTTATTTAGTATAGATTTGTCTGCTCTTGCCCCTCTCTGCTTTTATTCAGCAACTGTATGCAGCTTCTCATGTTAGAATTTTACATAATGTGTGCTGGTTATTGTGATTAGTGTGACTTGATTATGTCTCTGTCTCTTATTTTCTCCCCTCTGCATTAGTTCAATTCTCCCATGTGTCTGAATATGACAAAAAGACCAAAGTGCAGTGGAGCACAGAGCAGGTCTGGTGTCTTCCGTGCTGTGTGAACACGCCTCTCAGTTTTCTTAGTGACTGTAGATATCTTACATTTCCTCAGGTCTGTTTGCTGATATTAATCCAAGCTCAGAAAAGGATCAGAGTCCACCTCATATACAGACCAAATACTGGCAGACAAAAAAAAGAAAAGAAAAATCTTATTCTATAATTATTTTGGACCTACTGGGCCCAAAGAACTGCGAGTACGTTCACAAGTCAGCCTACCGACACTTGTTATAATATTTGATGTGTGATAACTATTAGAATTGGTTTTGTGGCGCTTTTACCCTCTGGAGTGCATTAGAAAGCACACACAAGGCTACACGACTGTAACGACCTCTTCTGGTGGATTCACTGTCTGGTCACTAAGTAGGAGCTCGTATTTTATTCAGTGGGTCACTCACAACTTTGATACATACTAAAAAAAACTACAGGAAGTAACAGCCTGTTCACAGAAGGATTTAGAGCCTCCTTGTTGATTGATTGGCTTATATTCATTCCTCTGTCTCAGCTGAAGACACTGTAGTTAATTGGACACAGTGATTCCTCAGGGATCTCCTCTGATCTTAGTGTGTGTGAGAGAAAGAGTGAGAGCCAACCTGTTCAGTGGTGCTGATGTGACAAAATACAGAAATACAAGGATCTTTTTTTAAAAAACAGGTTTTATTTTGCGGTGTAAATAAAAGAAGTGCCATTTATTCCCATGTGTACAGATTAATGATCAATAAACAGTTTGAACAAAGCACAACGAGAATGAGCAAGCCCGAAAATAGACGTAGAAAAATAATACTGGGCAATTTTTTTTAATTTTTATTTTGTTTCTTGTACAAAGGGCTTTATAGCATTGTTATTACAGCATTTCCCTACGTGGCTTTTATAGTGTGTGATTCACTCGCTTAAATGATGCTTTTGATTGCAATTCTGCTGGTAATTAACATTACTGTGCAGCGAAACTCCTTCACACGGAGCGTGAATCAGAACATTTTACGTGATGTTTAAAGGGCAGGCTTCATATTGTTGCCTGCTGAATAAACAGGAAATTTCATCAACAGTGCCAACAATGAAACGTGAACGGCTCCTGAGCTGAAGAGCAGGGTCACATTGACGTGAAACTGAAGTTCACTGCTTGTGCTGAGAGGCAGACTGGGACTTGTTGTTCTTTGATCAGCGTCACAACAAAATCACTAGTCTTCCACTCAGCACCACCAGCACCTTCGACTCTTTTTTTTTTTTTTGGTCACATCCACATCCCCTGCTTCCGCCTGTAAAAGAAGAAAAAGAAACAGAGGGGGCCTTTAGATACTTAAAAAACTTCCCCTTCACTCTACAATTATTGAACATGAGGTATTGATTTGGCACCATTAGTGACACGGGCTTCAGAGCTGAAGAAGGTTTCAGGACATGCATGTGTCACAGGTGTTGCAGGACACTGGCGAGTGGCGTGCTGGTAGGTTGCGAACTTTAGATGTCGGAGATAGAAACACAACATGCATTTCCCATCTCTGTGTTTCCCCCCCAACCCATTTCTCTCTGAAGCCTGTTGACATTCCATCCTTCCTTTGTTGTTGTAATGCCAACCTTTCAGCTCCTCTCAAAAGAGGGAGACAGGAGAAGGGTGGGTGGGGGGCACAGAGAGAGAGGGAGGAGAAGAGCACAGCACTTAGAATAAACGCTGTTCAATGGAAATGTGAACGCAGGGCATCAACTCAGTGATTTGTGTGTATGTGTGGTGTTTTCCCCCTTTCTAATAGGTCATATTTGGGGTGGAAGAATAGGAGCGAGAGAGAGAGAGACATACAGATTGTCCTGCATCCCCAGTATGTTTTTGAGCTGGTAGCTATGCAACAAGACTGGGAGTCAGTGGAGGAGGGGGATGGGAAGATGGGGACAGTTAGTGAGAGGAAGGAAGCACGGGAGGAGAGAAAGGGGGCTCCTTAAGTGCAAACTAGAGAAAAGAGGAGTGCTGAGCGGAGACAGCCCTCCATTTATACCCAGAGGAGACCCTGGAAGAGATTGTCAATAATGTTCATGGCACTAAATCACTTCATTTGCTGTTGCTCTTTGTTGCCCTGGCGTTCAAACCATTAAAAAAAATAATCATGTATTTAGTTTCTAAACAGCGACTTAACTGAATGCACGCCGTCAGGTTGCGTTAATATTCAGCGAATGTGCCGACACGGTTTAAAATTAGCTCTAAAAGCCACAAATAAACCTGCTCTTCCTTCCAGATCGCAGCTAAATGGAAACGATTAGCCCTCGACGTGGGAGCTGTCCAGTGTCTCGGTGCTGAATGACGCCCTACTTTTTTTCTTCTTCTTTTTTTCCCACGTCCATCTCTTCCTCAGCATCTCGCCTCGATTCCGGCCCGGGAAAAACATGCCACCTGTTGCTGCACCGAAGTTTTCTCTCTGGAGGTTATAAAGCCAAAAGACCTCTGATATCTGACTCATATAATCGCCAGCGATCCCAGTTTTGAAGTGTAGTAAGGTCAC